CTCTCACTAGTTAACTAGTAAAAGGCAAGGGTTCACTAGTTAACGTGTAGACATTTTGAGCCCCACTAGTTAACTAGTAAGGTCAAAAGAGGCGTCAACTAGTTAACTAGTGAACATTTTGCCTTTACTAGTTAACTAGTGAGTTATTCTGGGTGCGACTAGTTAACTAGTGCGCTGCAAAATCTCTGACATGTTAACTAGTTGTGCTTCTTTTGTGTGACTAGTTAACATGTCAGAGCTTTTGCAGCGCACTAGTTAACTTGTAAGACTTTTAGGGTCACTAGTACGGTCAGAGGGCCACTAGTTCATCAAAAAGCTTACACGTTGGGACTTTGGTGCTACTAGTGCTGCTCCTGGCGTCACTAGTAAGGCATACGTGTTAACTAGTCGGACAAAAGTGCCACTAGTTGCTGAAAAAGAGCGACTAGTGAAATGTTTTATTCAACTAGTAAAGCAGCGTGCCTAACTAGTTTGACCATATATCTAACAAGTGAAATCAAAGAGCCAACTAGTGTGGGCCGCTGCCGTCTGATATCAAGGAAATTGAATAAATACTCAAATGGCTTGCCATAATTTAACATGTATGACTTTTTCCAGAACTAGTGGATATTTTCAGCCCACTAGTTGTGCTTTTGTTCTCTCTAGTTCAACACAATGACTTACTAGTTGACGTGTACGTACAACTAGTTTACTAGTGATGTGTCAACAAATGCACTAGTCAACATGTATGACTTTTAAACAATTCACTAGTTAACTAGTTGCACGTACACGTCAACTAGTAAGTCATTGTGTTGAACTAGAGAGAACAAAAGCACAACTAGTTGGCTGAAAATATCCACTAGTTCTGGAAAAAGCCATACATGTTGAATCAATAGCTAACTAGTTGCATGCAGTTGCTCACTAGTGCAAACAAAGCCAAACTAGTCGAAGGAAAGGCCTTACATGTTTAAAAAATGTGTAACATGTAAGGTCAAACACTAACATGTTTATAATATAACCTCACTAGTGAGAATAAATGCCCTCCACTAGTTAACTAGTAAGAAAAACATCTGTCACTAGTTTACTAGTGACTCCTCTAAGGCTTCACTAGTTAACTAGTGAGCTAAAGTGTGTGTAACTAGTTAACTAGTAAGGTAAAAACAATTGTACTAGTGCATCTAGTGGACAATTTGGACCTCACTAGTTAACTAGTGCACATTTTGAGCCTCACTAGTCAGCTTAGAAGACCAAAACAGGCTTCAACTAGTTAACTAGTGAACATTTTGCCTTCACTAGTTAACGTGTATGCTGCAATATGCATCCACTAGTTAACTAGTTGCCGTTCATATGGCCAACACGTTAACTAGTCAGCCATAGGCAAATGAAGCAGGCGGGACCCAGATTCTGATTGGTCAGTTCAGCTCTGTGAGGGAGAGCCTGAGGGGGCGTTCTTCTGCGATGTTTTTAGCAAGGTCTTGAAGACGTGAGGTGCATCAGTCGGGTATTTAGTGCCTACTGTTAACATATTGTCTGTGGGAAGTCAGTCAGTGTGTGTTTTACCTAGAAATATACATGTTTCTGCTTCTGCTATATTCCGCTTTGTGTGTGTGTTTTTGTTGGTGCGAATGTGCGCACGCTTGTGTGTGAGAACACCGGCACTCGAGACACAAAAGTAGAGGAAGTGATCGTGGGACATTTTATCAGCGGTCCTCATGAAATGAATAAAGCTGAAACACTGGACAGATCTTAAAATCAGGGTAACGATAGATCCGTATGAAGATAAACAACCTCTCCATATTTGCCAAGACTAATATTTACGGAAGTCACGGCGATCTCTCAAAGCTGTGATCCGAAGAGCGTTACTTCCTCTTTCTATCCATCAATAATGTCCCTCTGTTATCACAATGCCATTCTAATCCAAGCACCTTTCACATTGCAGTTTAATAACATGTGTTAAAGAGGATCTATATTCCTGCCTGCAGTCCTAAGGCAACTTTCTAATTTTAAGAAAGTCTTCAATGTTCTTACCTAATTTGATATACAGTCATATGATCATAAAAACACAAATACTTTTGTTTTATATTTTTGTAAATATGGTCATATTTTAAAACAGTGTATTTAAGCTCTTAAATAAACTATTTGGGCTGGGTGGCGCTCTATATCTTAGGGCCTATAGGAGACCTCGATGCGTTCTTTCCCCTCCTCCTCATTAGCATTCTGTGCAACTAGTGTGACTAGTGCACATTTGGGATCCACTAGTGCTACTAGTGAACATTTTAAGCCTCACTAGTTCACTAGTGGAATTTAAACTTCTCTCACTAGTTAACTAGTAAAAGGCAAAGGGTTCACTAGTTAACGTGTAGACATTTTGAGCCCCACTAGTTAACTAGTAAGGTCAAAAGAGGCGTCAACTAGTTAACTAGTGAACATTTTGCCTTTACTAGTTAACTAGTGAGTGATTCTGGGTGCGACTAGTTAACTAGTGCGCTGCAAAATCTCTGACATGTTAACTAGTTGTGCTTCTTTTGTGTGACTAGTTAACATGTCAGAGCTTTTGCAGCGCACTAGTTAACTTGTAAGACTTTTAGGGTCACTAGTACGGTCAGAGGGCCACTAGTTCATCAAAAAGCTTACACGTTGGGACTTTGGCGCTACTAGTGCTGCTCCTGGCGTCACTAGTAAGGCATACGTGGTAACTAGTCGGACAAAAGTGCCACTAGTTGCTGAAAAAGAGCGACTAGTGAAATGTTTTATTCAACTAGTAAAGCAGAGTGCCTGACTAGTTTGACCATATATCTAACAAGTGAAATCAAAGAGCCAACTAGTGTAGTCCGCTGCCGTCTGATATCAAGGAAATTGAATAAATACTCAAATGGCTTGCCATAGGAGGAGAACATATCAGTGACTAGACACACGTGTTAAAAGGAAGTGAGGAATGTATGAAGGAAAGGGAAAAAACTAGGGGTGTAACGATACCAAAAACTCACGGTACGATAATATCGCGATAAAAAGTCCACGGTATCATCGTGATATTGAAAAATGTTCTTTATTAAATAATAAATCTGATTTGTACAGCATTTTAGTAGATAGTAGTATTTTAAAGTGTCAACAATATAATAATCAGACCCTGCAATAGAATAAATCAAGTTTCAGTTTAGTTTTTCAAGTAACTCAACTCTAACTCACTCACTCAGTCATCAAGGTTATCTTTTAGGAATATGAGCATGTCCACATTTCCAGGTAGAAGCTGGGATGTTTGGGCGTTTACAAAATCCTCTGCTGTGGAACAAACTCTCTCGCTTGGTACTGATGTTGCTGGGACAGAGAGATATGCTTTGGGCAGTGGGTCAAACTGTGCATTGTCTCTCCACCTCTTCAAAAACAATACAGTTTTTGCCAAGAAGGTGAGGCTTATTGACAGAGATATAAATATACTGTTGGTACGTGTCCATGTCTCTAGGTATGTACATGTAGCCCTGTAAATACCATGTCCTTTTGTGTTATCTGTTGTGTTCATGTTGTAACCTACTTGCTGCCATGTTGGACAGGTCTCCCTTGAAAAAGAGATCGCTGATCTCAATGGGACCATCTGGTTGAATAAAGGTTTCAAAAAAAAATAATCGCGGTATATTATGTCAGTCTCACGACGGTATTGAGACATCTATTTACCGTGATATCACGATATATCGTTACATCCCTAGAAAAAACGGTGTAAAATTAAACGATTGATTGTTTTGTGTTTTCCTGACTAACTGAGGTTGTGCAAATTACTGTCCAGAATCTTCAGAATCAGAAATCAGTTTATTATATTATTATTACCTACAAGTTTTCTTTAGTGTATGAGGAATTGAATTATATATATAAATATGAACAAAAAATATCTTCTATCGATTTGAAAACAAATGAAGTATTACATAAAAATACAATTATGTTACGAAAAACTGAACCAATATTTCTGAATTAAAATTAAAAGATGTCAAAAAGAATATTTGAAGTTGACACTATAACTATGAAAACAATGTGGTATTAAAAGGAACGCTTAGAAGAAAAGTTACAATATAATTTTATTTGCACGGAATTATTGCTAATAATATTTGACATATCAAAATTAAAAACATGTCAAATGTATCTGAATAAAAAAGTGTATAGAAGAACTGGGTTACAAATATGAAAAATACTATTAAAAAAACCTAGATAACTACTAAAAGGAATGTGCAAAAATTCAAAAAGATAATAATAAAGAAATATTTGCAGAGATGTAGTCCATTGAATTATGCACGTGAGAATGTGAAGCATGAAGAAAGATGTTTAAATTGAACCAACAGGTGGAGGCACAGCACGTGGCATGAGGCTTTGTGATAAGATGATGATGATGATGATGAAGAAGATGATGATGATGATGATGATGATGATGGAGCACAAAGCCTCCCCTCTTCCTCCTCACATCAGTGCCTCACCATGTCTCCACATGTGCACACATTCTGGTTACTCTTCATCTGGTTTCCATGTAAGACTTTGGATCTCAACCTGAATATGAAACTACTGTTTGAAAGCTATAAATAATGTATTATCTTCTGGTCGGTTGCTTCAATATGAGTTTAAACTCAAATCTGTTTTCTCCACAGGTCAGGTGAGCGCTGCTACATTTCAACAATCTCCTGCTCAGATAGTGGAGGAGAGCACTGAGGTCCAGATTACATGCAGCCATGATGATTCTTCCCTTTCAGTAATGCTCTGGTATCAGCAGAGAAAAGACAGTCTCTCTATGACCCTCATTGGGTATGGATATGCAACCGGCCAAAACTATGAGGGTCAGTTTGAAAAAGAGTTTGAGCTGACGAGAGAAGACACGCTGACAGGAGCTCTGATTATACGCTCAGCAAACCTGTCACACTCGGCTGTGTATTTCTGCGCTGCCAGTACACAGTGATGTGGTGAACGCCAGTCCCTTACTAAAACCCTCATCTCTTTCCTGAACACGAGATCTGTGCATGTTCACAGGAGGCGGTGTCTCTACACACCATCAGAGGCAGCAGTGTTTCTCCTGCTACAGCACAACTCTGAAGGATGTCTCCAGCTGTGATAGCATTTATCCTCATCTTGCTTTCATGTAAAAAATAAATGCTGCAGAAAAAGATATTTCTAAGAATGCGTTTTCACAGTTTGTTCTGTATTAACTACTTTTTGATTCTGTGTTTCCCACAGATGGAGCTGAGAGTGTGGAGTTTGAGCCAACTCATCCAAAAACAGTCAACGACAAAGACAGGGTAGAAATTGAATGCAGTCATGATAGCAACCTGGATGTAATGCTGTGGTACCAACAAACTGAGAGAGGTCTGATGCATTTCATTGGATACAGCTACACTGGCAGTGAGCCCAACTATGAGAAGGGGTTTGAAAAGCGGTTTGAGATAACAAGAGAAGACGTAAGAAAAGGAGCCCTGATTATTCCCAGTGTGAATCTATCACACTCGGCTGTGTATTTCTGCGCTGCCAGAGAACACAGTGATGTGGTTTGGAGCCACTCCCTCACTAAAACTCCCTCACATGGTCTCTTCACACAGACTCTCAGTGAAGACAGTTCCTCCTGCAGCACAGAGAACCTGGACCATGTCTCCAGCTGTCATCGCATTGCTTCTCCTCTCACTATCATGTAATGCAACTATTTCGATGATCAATTTATCATTAAAGGAACTTTTCATGCTAAACTATCACACAGTGCTGTTCGTTATATATAGTGAACATCTATGTGCTTTGGATGAGGAAACAAGACATTTAAAGACGATTGGACTTCGAGAAACGTGGATGGACATTTTTCAATATTTTCTGACATCTTAAAGACCAAAAGATTCATTAAGAGAGTAATCAGCAGATTGATTGGAAATGCAATTTACTGCCTAAGTAACTATTTAAATTTGAAGATTTCTTGACGGAACCATTTTTAAGAATGTTTTACACCGCATTATATCGCTTCTGTATCAACTAGTTTTTTGATTCTGTGTTTTCCCACAGATGGAGCTGAGAGTGTGGAGTTTGAGCCAACTCATCCCAGAATAGTCAACGACAAAGACGGGGTAGAAATTAAATGCAGGCACAATGATAACAACCTGGATGTAATGCTCTGGTACCAACAAGCAGAGAGAGGTCTGATGAAATTAATTGGATACAGCTATGGCAGTGAGCCCAACTATGAGAAGGGGTTTGAAAATGGATTTAAAATAACAAGACAAGACAAGATGAGAGGAGCTCTGATTATTCAAAGTCTAAATCTATCAGACTCGGCTGTGTATTTCTGCGCTGCCAGAGAACACAGTGATGTGGTTTAATGCCTCTCCCTCACTAAAACCCTGCTCTCATTTTTCTCTGGTGTGTTTGTGTTCAAGATCCTGAGACTGCCTATATCAGCATGCACAGAGAGATCATAATATTAAGGACATTGGGCTGAACAGATATAGGCAAATTCTACAATGTTGTAGACATAAAATAAAATAAAAAATAATAAGGTTAGGTATGTAAAATGATGTGCATTGCACTACAGTATATAGCAATAAATATTCAACTTAAAGTAGCGACAGTAAAAGTAGGCATTGTGCAGATTGGTCCATTTCAGAATAATATATATGATATGTTTTATAATGATTGATCATGAAAGTGTTCTCAAAGCTGGTGAAGGTGCAGCTAGTTTGAATGACTTTGTATACTGCAGGGTAGCTGGTGGATTTACTCCAGGTGGAACTAAAGTCTGATTTAACACTTGATTAAATGTATTCAATAAGTACCTGGAAATTGTACTTAAGTCCAGTACTTGAGTAAATCTACTTTACACCACTGCATGTACAGATGATTATTTAGCTTTCACCAAACCATCAGCATCCAACCCAAATGAAACATAAAGTTCACCAGTGTCAACAATCTCACAGCCATCCCCAACTCAGCAGCCAACATCAGAACATGAACCACAAGCGGCAGAGCAGGAAGTTAGCTAACTAGACCGTTAGCTTAGCCATACGCTAGCTAGCCTAGCGTACATACACAATGTAAACAAAGCTTATAAATCAACTAAGGTTACATATTTAGCATAGCAAACAAAAGTCTTACCTTGGTCGATGTAAGCAGTATCTTCCAGCATTTTAGAGAGGAGTTAAGTCCTTAGGAAGAGTCACAAAAGGACAGGAAATCCAAGTTCAGTCTTCAAGTGTCCAACCGTTGATGTGAGGTGGACCAACCGGCAATCCGTAGCCTAGCAACAACATCTCCGAGCAGAGTAAACTGTAGTTCATGGCGTCCCTAAAACAGGAAATAATGAACTGTTGGCACGCAGTGAACTGGTTTCATGAAATGCGACATAAACTGTAATAACTGTTTAAACGGGTTTTTGTTGACGTAAAAAAGCAATGAAAACCTAATTTGACCTAGTGAGGAGTTTAACGGTCAACACCTTCAGTTGGGAAACGTAACAAAGTGGGCGGGGCGACGTCTGTTTAAAAACGACTTGATTGACCAATCACGTTTCAGCAAGGGTTAGCAGGTGTCAATCATGGATTAATTAAGAGAGCATTCACTGCTATTCATTTGACAATTCACAGAAAAAATTATTTTGAAAATGTTGTAATTTAACCATTGTTTTTTATTTCTATGATGTTAAATGGTAAAAAAAAATCAAATGTAGTGATTAAATAACACCACAAAGTTCTGACAACATCCACCTTAAAAATAAAAAGGACAGAATAACTCTTTATCAGTGAATCAATGATGATTCATATTTAATTATGTGATCATGTGACCTTCTGGTGTGTGTGTGTGTGTGTGTGTGTGTGTGTGTGTGTGTGTGTGTGTGTGTGTGTGTGTGTGTGTGTGTGCGTGCGTGCGTGTGTGCGTGCGTGCGTGCGTGTGTGCTGAGCAGTGATCCTCATTCAGCTGGAGGAAGGCTCATCGATGACACTGAAATGTTTCTCACAGTCCTTCACTTGTCGCTTCTTTTACACTCAGGTGGGTTTACCTCTCTCACATTCACACATCGTATACTTTTGTTTTAAGTTCTTATAACACGTCACCCTCCATGTGCTGCAGGTCTCACTGCGGTGGTCCTTCAGTCTGGAGATCAGATGTCCCAGCCTGGGTCGAATGTGACCTTTGAGTGCAGGATGGGTGGTGGGGGTATGAGCAGCTACACCATGCTCTGGTACCGGCAGGACCGCCCTGGAGCTGCAGTGCAGTTCCTCACTAAAGAGTACGACCAGGCTGCAGGGAACAAAGTGTCCTCTATCGATCCGTCCAAAAACACCTTCTCTCTGCACATCAGTGAGCTGCAACTGAGCGACAGCAGCACTTACTACTGTGCTGCCAAACACAGTGCTGCACTCAGAGCAGAAACTCGTACAGATAACAGGCCGCTGCAGCTGGAGTTGGGCTTATCTGGTTTTGTACTGAAATGGTACCAAAAAAATGAAGACATTATTCAGATCTGAAAGTAGGGTAAGACACACGATGGTACAATGGTGGGCTTTAGTTTATGTAGAATAGTAGTGTCATCTTTTAAGTCTTTAACGCATGGCAGAGGATGTTTTACCGTGTATGTATATATGTGAAGCCAAAGCCAAATGTACATCTGTACAACAAAGGTGTCTATTCTATTTTAGCTCTAATTAAGTTTTTAAGTAATGCCTGTTCTTTGTCAGTGTCCATGCATGTCCTTAAAAAGGAAGACACATACGCAGAGATGTCAGCAATTTCCTCCAAAACCTATAAAAAAGATGAAAAAGTGTGTCGATTATTAAATGAACAGGAAGTCCACAAAGCCACAGAGCTGATGGTGTTTGATAAGCCAGCAGGTGTTAATACTGGAGGATTTTAACCTTCCTACAACATAAGTGCTCTGTACAGAGTCTCCTGTGAGTCCCTCTGGGCTCAGGTCTGCACTTTAGTATAAGATTTAAGTGTGTGTGCAGCCAGGAGGGAGAGATGAGAAGTTCCAGAGGTTTGCACACACTGACCTCTGCAGGGTGCGTGTGGGACTACACTGAGACCGGGTAGTTTATCTGGCCTGTAATGACTTTTAAATGTTTTTAAACCGAGCAACACATTTATGAAGTGGTCTGAATATGGTGGTATTTATATTAAAGTTAAATACTGTAAATGTGATGTATGAATTAAAAAATAAAAACATAACCTCCTCCCTGCTCAGGGCGATAATATAGAAAAACCTGCGGATTTCTTTCTTGAAAATGAAAAATATTAATAAAAGGACAGATACTTTTCTACTTTTTTTACTTTCTACTTTCTACTTTTTTACATTTTGAATGCAGGACTTTTACTGTAACAGAGTATTTCTACACTCTGATACTTCTACTTTTACTCAAGTACAATATCTCAGTACTTCTACTTTTACTCAAATACAAGATCTGAGTACTTCTACTTTTACTCAAGTACAAGATCTGAGTACTTCTACTTTTACTCAAGTACAAGATCTGAGTACTTCAACTTTTACTCAAATACAAGATCTGAGTACTTCTACTTTTACTCAAGTACAAGATCTGAGTACTTCTACTTTTACTCAAGTACAACATCTGAGTACTTTTACTCAAGTACAAGATCTGAGTACTTCTACTTTTACTCAAGTACAAGATCTGAGTACTTCTACTTTTACTCAAGTACAAGATCTGATTACTTCTACTTTTACTCAAGTACAAGATCTGAGTACTTCTACTTTTACTCAAGATCTGAGTAATTCTACTTTTACTCAAGTACAAGATCTGAGTACTTCTACTTTTACTCAAGTACAAGATCTGAGTACTTCTACTTTTACTCAAGATCTGAGTACTTCTACTTTTACTCAAGTACAAGATCTGAGTACTTCTACTTTTACTCAAGTACAAGATCTGATTACTTCTACTTTTACTCAAGTACAAGATCTGAGTACTTCTACTTTTACTCAAGATCTGAGTACTTCTACTTTTACTCAAGTACAAGATCTGAGTACTTCTACTTTTACTCAAGATCTGAGTACTTCTACTTTTACTCAAGTACAAGATCTGAGTACTTCTACTTTTACTCAAGTACAAGATCTGAGTACTTCTACTTTTACTCAAGTACAAGATCTGAGTACTTCTACTTTTACTCAAGTACAAGATCTGAGTACTTCTACTTTTACTCAAGTGCAAGATCTGAGTACTTCTACTCAAGTACAAGATCTGAGTACTTCTACTTCTACTCAAGTACAAGATCTGAGTACTTCTACTTTCACTGAAGTACAAGATCTGATTACTTCTACTTTTACTCAAGTACAAGATCTGAGTACTTCTCCCACCTCTGGTAACAACCCAACTTTATATATATTTTAACTTACACAGGAAATATTGGTGAGTATTTTTTCCAGAGTAATTACTATTTTGCTCTGAAATAGTGATATTTAATCATTTTGGAGTGTATTTATTACTCATAGCTTCTAGAGTGCGATCAAAAATGCAGAGTCAATTATTTTGGAGTCAAACCATGACCACGCTGTAACGGAGGTGATCTCTGGAGCCGTAGATCTCGGTCTCTTATATTATATAGCTTAATTATTGGCGAAGTATATTACTTTGTTCCATGCTAAAACATTGCACAGGAAGCATGTGAATCTATGTCATTTATGCATCTATTTGTCACGATCTGTCTGTGTTTTAGTTTGTCTGTCTCTGTTTCCTGTTGTAGTTTGAAAAGTGTTCCCCCTCCCGTCTTGTCTGTTGCTGGTGATTGTGTTCACCTGGTGCCCTGTGTTTCTCCTCCCTCCTCACCTGTGTCTTGTTGGTTTGATTAGTCCTGTGTGTATTTAGGTTCTGTTTTCCTGTTAGTGTGTGTGAGGTCCTTGTTGCTGGTGACTGTGTTCACGTGAGACAGTCATATTGAGGCTGTGTATCATGAACCACAGCGATGAATTTAAAAAAAAATTAAAATTACCTTCTATTGGGAGTAAAATTACTTTCTAGTTGGAGTAAAATTACCTTCTATTGGGAGTGAAATTACTTTCTAGTTGGAGTAAAATTACTTTCTAGTTGGAGTAAAATTACCTTCTATTGGGAGTAAAATTACTTTCTAGTTGGAGTAAAATTACTTTCTAGTTGGAGTGAAATAACTTTCTAGTTGGAGTAAAATTACCTTCTATTTGGAGTAAAATGACATTTGATTGGGAGTCAAATGACCTTCTAGTTGGAGTGCAATGACGTTCGATTGGGAGTAAAATTACCTATGAGTAAAATGGCAGTAGAGTTGTTTTTAATATACACTACATAGAGTAAATAACCATTAAGCAGAGTCAAATCTAGCACATAATAGAGTCAAATGAACTCTAAAAATACAACTCTGAACAAAGAGTACATTTTACTCTATATAGGTTGGGACCAAATGTAATATTTTTAGAGTAAAATATTCTTCAATTTGAGTCAATTTTACTCAGAGAAGTTATAATGAACCTCCATTCCTCTTACCGACAGATACATCACCATCAGACGCCCTCCAATGAATGGAGGATTAAGGGTATCTCAATTAGGTAAGGTATACTTAAATTAATATAAATACAGAATTTCATGAACAGAACACTATCATACCGGTCAATTATAATAATGTTTTATTTTCCTCTGACTAGTTTTCCGCAGGATTACTACAGTGGGTCTTGTGTTGCTGTGTATTGTGCTACTTGGAGGGCTGATTTACAATATGCATAAGAACAGTAGGTCTGAACTTTTTTCTCTGTTATATATAACAGTCTTTTAAGATGAAGTGAATGTATCCCCAGAGGAACAAGACATTTGATGACTGTATTATTGTACATTTTACACTGTATTAATGGAATGATTTAGTCCACAGAGTAATCTTTTTGGCTTTTGGGGTATATTCACCACGTTGTTCAAATATGATGATCATTAATCCCTTTGAAATGTGGACATAAATATTTTTCATTGAATGCTTGACTGCATTGAAAATAGGGTGATGTTTTCATCGTAGGGATTGTACCTACAGTAAAGTGTTTGCACAAACTGGACTACTCTTAAAAAAATTACAAACGTTTGATCACGTGTCTTATAATACAGTTTATTGGTACATATATTACAGGTTCATATGTAACACTTCAGTGTACAAGCAGTTCTGTTTAGTGCTAATGTCCAGCAAACTGTGCAGTGGGTGATAAAAAGGTTAAACAATGTATGCATGAATTATGTATGTAATTATATAATATAACTGTATTCTACTCGGCGATATGAAGCAGCTTTTTCTATCTCTTTGTATAGGTATCCTGTTAAGTAAGATCTGCAGCCTCTATAACCATGATGCCGCCCACGGCCCCTCGGACCGTGTGGCCGCCAACGACCATGAGGGATAAGAGATCAACTCAGTGAAAGCCGCGCCTGCTGACCAATCAATTGATGTGCAGAGTTTGACCTTGAAAGCTGTTTCTTCTGCTCTGAAATGGAATATATTTGTTACATATTAATAGAATTTTAGATTTTTTGATTTGATTTCAGATTTTTGAATGGGAGAAGTAGTAGATAGAAAACATACCAGACACTAATTATTCAAAGTAGAGTATTTCATTTTATATACGGTAATACTAAGGAGGCATAGGCCTATATGATGATATCATGTTTGACATTATGGATATTAAAAAAGGGATTTGTTTTCCATGTCATTCGTGTGTTTTCTTATCAGAGAGGGAAGTTATTTATTTGTAAGCTCCAAATCCAAATGTTTCCCTCAATGGCCTTCGTGCCCTGAACAAAATGGTGACACCAAAGGCCGAATGGCCTTGCCCCTAAAATGAGGAAATTCTAAGCCTGAACACAATACAAAACACGAGCGCAACAAGTCAAATATGGAGGTTAGAAACGTAAAGTACACGTTGGAATTGAAAAGTCAAATATTGTGCACAAAATCTGCTGGAAAAAAAGTTGTTTGAAATAAAAGTGGTGCAATAACTGTATAAGAATAATAGAGTGTACAATGATGTTTAGTGTTGTGATTTTATAAACACATTTTGGTTAATGATGCATGGTCACAATATTGTTAGAAAGGTATTCAGTAAATTCTATTTTTCCATTACAAAATAAATGTTGTGTCAAATCATAATATTATACAGCTCATACAACTTATATTTAACTTGGTAATCTTGCAGATGTTGACAGATGTTTTGACCACTGGGGGGCAGAACACACTTTTACACATCCAGCTGCGACAGACGAGCAACATTTGCATTCATTTGCAAAATAAAAGATGATTTAATATTCACTTTTCTGTTCTGTTGTGGTTTTATCCAAGGAAAATATCCGTTTTTTCAGCTACACTTTTAAGAGCTAGTCGCACACTTTGCATTCATCCAGGTTGTTTTACCGCCCCGCTGAAAGCAGAGATGAAAAAGCAAAACATTTTGATCATAACGATGCTAAGATGTCACATACAGCTGGTTTATGTAACAATTATCTATGAATTCATCAAAACAAGCGAAACATTTCACATTAGGCCTATAGGTGAATGCGTTTATCTCAGTGAAGTGTCTCTGACGCTGCAGGATGAAGAGGTGGGCAGCGGAGACGTCCCTCCCTCTGAACACAAACACCTCTCTCCCTTCTCCTTCCTCCCTCTTCTTTTCTTAGCTGTCACAGAAATAGCAGCAGTAGAGACACACACACACACACACACACACACACACACACACACACACACACACACACACACACACGTACACACACACACACACACACACACACACTCGCACCACACAGAGAGATGGAGGCTGAGATATGGAGGCGCTGGGGGGAGGGAGGGGGGAGAGAAGCAGAGAGACTTCAGGTTTTTGTCTGATGCTTTTTCACCGTGGGGACAGGGGGCCACGGTGATACAATCCTATAGAGCCGCTGTACAAAAACCTCCTCCATTAACAGCCCCTGTGTTCCTGCTGCAGGCTCCCTGTGGGGGGGGGGGGGGGGGGGCAGGACGGATATCAAGGGTTCAAACTCACTGCTCACTTTGGCAGTAAAACACAATTCATGTGGACAAAATCTGCAGAAGAAATAGTTTTAAAATGATCTTATTATTTATATGTGGAGCATTAGGATGCCTCTCTTTCTCGTCTGGACAGAAACCTTGGACTTGATGACATTATGAATCCTGTCCTGCATGTCTGAGCCTTCCTCCTCCTCCGAGTCTCAACGTGCTGATTCTGGAGAGTTTGGAGACTTTTTGGTCGAGGAGACTCTCAGTGTAACTCTGGAGCTGAAGCTTACTTTGGAAAGGGAACGAAAGTCACTGTTTTAGGTAAGTAGCTTCTCTCCCTGCTTCGGTGTCATGCTACAAACGTAACATCGTTTTAATGTTGGTGTGAAAGTGAAGGAAAACACTGTTGTTGTGAAAGAGTCTATATATTGACCTGAAGGGAGAACACTGTGAGCAACACTCAACCTGCTTACTTTGGACAAGGAACCAGACTCACAGTTTTAGGTAAATATTTCACTAACACTGTGTTTTGATAAATGTCATAGTGCTTTAAAGTTCCATTATGAACGGAAGTATCAGTAAAAACTTTCCAACGATAATCCTGATAGAGAAATAGTTTGATGCTCAGCGTTTCTGCACTGTGACACAGCAAGCGAGGCTTACTTTGGAAAAGGAACCAAACTAACAGTTTTGGGTAAGGATGGCTCATGTATGTAGTAACGTTTTGTAAATGACGCGGTGCATTGAGCAAAGTATTTGGGTTGTTATAGTCCGAGTTGTGCTCCGAGCTTTTTGATATCAAGCTTCAGCTCTGTGCCAATTACCAAGCCTATTTCGGACAGGGAACCAAAGTGACTGTCCTCGGTGAGTAAGAGCTCTGCATTTATAAGTTGTGTGTTACAATTAAAAACTTGAGTGCAATGCAGTAAAAAATAATAATAATAACAATGTTAACACGGTAAAGTAGTTTTAAAGGCAACTTCATCTAAAAGCAGAGTGTCGTGCAGTTTTAGACACGGATCAGGTTCACTGTGACACTGGTTTTAGTGAAGCTTACTTCGGTGGAGGAACTAAGCTAACTGTTTTAGGTAAGACATATATATATATATTGTATATAAAGTCTATGATGAGATGGGAAATGTTCAAAGTGCTGTACATGGTGTGGTCATTTAACAATCATACTGTACTGGAGATCTTTAAAGTTTAAGTTGCTCAGAGCTTTTTGTTCTCGAGCTCAAACGCTGTGTCAGTACGAGGCTTATTTCGGGCAGGGAACTAAAGTGACTGTTCTCGGTGAGTAAAAGCTCTACGTTTCTTTCAAACATTAACTTAGTAAAACATTCAAAAGCCTGACAGGTTGGTCACTGAGAGAAGGTTTTGAATTGCATACATTGTGTAAAAAACACAGCGTGTGAGGCAGGAGCTGTTGGTTTTTAAATTACAAGGAAGTTGCATTTATTATAAACAATAATAGATAATAATTAGTTTAGTAGAGCAGCATGTGGAGCAGTTTTAGACACTGATCAGGTTCACTGTGACCCAGAGCTCAGAGGCTTACTTTGGTGGAGGAACTAAGCTAACAGTTATAGGTAAGAAAATGTTAAAAGTGTATTATTTTTGTTCGATAGATTCGTGATTATTCCTAAAGCAAGTTTGTTGATGTTTTAGAGGTGAAAGTTAATAAGGAAAGTTTTCTCTTTAGCACTGTAGAGTATGTTAAAGTCAAAGTGTTCACATGTCAGAGAAACAAGTGAAAGAGAGCGAGACAGAGAGGCAGCAGGGAGAGTTTGTGTGACAGTGGAAAGTCTCTGTGCTCATACTCCGAGGCTTACTTCGGAGCTGGGACTAAACTCACTGTTTTAGGTAAGAAACGCTGCAGGAGAAACGTCTCTCAGAGCACTTTCATTTCACTTTAAAATAATAGCCAAGGATACAAATATGTTTAGTAGGAATTTAATTTGATAGTTGTGAAAAAAACTGTACGTTAAAACCGTGTTAATAGTTAGTTTGTGCTGTAAAAAACTAGCCTCGTCTTTGTTGAGCGGTAAAACAGCACAGCAGTAAATCTTCTGGCTGAGCTCCAGATTATTTCTCTCACGGCGACTTCTGATCAGCTCTGAGTTCAGTCAGGAGCGGCAACTAACTCACCATTTTAGGTAAGACAGGAAAAATGATGTCAAATAAATTAATGTAATATATGGAGGACATTTGTTTTAGTAGTTTTTTTTATCTTATTCTCATGAGTAGTTAAAATCAGCAGTTTGATAATGTTTAGATTTCATTTGGCAAAGCTTTTCTTTGAGAGTTTGTGCACACAGTTTAAGTAAAAACAGCGCAGACAGTAGCGAGGCTTCAGAGCAGCAGTTTTCCTGAAGCCTTGTTTCAGTGTGAACAACTACGACCCTGCTTACTTTGGCAGAGGCACCAAACTCACAGTGCTGGGTAAGACTATTATTTCTAAAAGAATATGCATAAATGTTTGTTCCTGAGCTTCATTCAACCTAAATCTGCAAAAAAAGAAAATATTATTTTTGTTGAGTGAATGCAGAGTGTTGTCAAAATGATATCTCGAGGTGGTACGGTAAGCCTTTGGTCCTAACGCCAGGCTTTGTCATGAGTTTGTTCTGTTAAATGCATTTGACAGTATTTACAACAGGCAACATTTTATCAATTGCAAAACTAAATGTCTTTACTTGTATTAGTGAAGAAGTGAGGGGGGGGGGGGGGGCAACAACTTTTAGTAAAAAAACACTGAGCTAAATGGTGATTATGGTCCACATGAGCAATACTGCATACATGTACTAACTATTTACTAAAACGATATGCGAAAGCTGAACCTGGAAATCAGATCTGTGTAGAAAACCCCCAGGAACCACGTTGTTTTTAGATGAGCAAATGTTTGTGTCTCATTGCAGACCTCCAGGGTTCTGACACCTTAACATTTTGTAAATCAGAATAAGGTTTAATGCTAATTTGTTTTCACTTGAATTTGCCCTGGTGTTTGGTGCATGTATTAAAACTCATAAACACAGGCTGAGTCCTGTAACCGTCGGTACCATGAATACAGAATGATGTCGGTCCTTTGTCTCTGCAGAAACAGGCCGTGATGTCTCTGCACCGACAGTCACAGTGTTTCCCTCCGTCAGCAAAGGAGTGCAGGAACCAGAGAGACCGTGAGAGGAAGAAGACCCTGGTGTGTGTGGCCAGCGGATTCTACCCGGACCACGTCAGTGTGTCCTGGAAGGTGGGCGGGGGGGCCGTCAGCAGCGGGGTGGCCACCGACAGCAGCGCCCTACGGGAAGACAAGGATCAGACCTACAGGATCAGCAGCAGGCTGAGGGTCTCGGCCTCAGACTGGTTCACACCGGACCGGAAGTTCACCTGCAGGGTCAGCTTCTTCAACGGGACTCACACCAGCCACCATGAAAACACGGTGGAGGGGGTCCAAGGTGAGGCATTTGGGAAATCTCAATGTTTCATTTAAGGGAAAGTGATCATCTGTCCTCGTCTAATCCATCTTTTTCTCTTATCAGGTAAAGAAGGAGTCATGACAAGAGGTGAATATATAATGTTGTATTTCTTGAAACATCAATGCATTCTATTTGGTGTGTTGTGTAGGGGTTCGCAGAAGAGCTGTATTCAGGACCTACTCCAGAGGCCTTGTAGAAAATGATAACATGGAAGCTGAGTGAAGTGTAGAGATAGAAGTTTTATTCTCTAAAGTGTTATCAACTAATTGAAGTAATGTGAAAACACAAAAGCAAACTTAAGACAAAAGTACATATTAATTTATGCTTAACTTGCACAAATAAAACATCCAAGATCAACAAGTTTTTTTTTATCACAAATGCTGCCCGTTATATAAATGAGGCTTGGCTAGCTGCCTTTTTATTTCACAAACTTGCGATTTTTTTAATTTAAATTGTACCCAACAAGCGGGAAAAACTGGTATTTTGTGAGATCTTTTATGAAATCCTAATTATACCAGACACAACTTTGAGTCTGTGCCTAGGATTATTCACTCAGGAGCAAAGTCCCCAGCCCTGATCTATTAGCTCTCTTATAACCCCACTGGATGTTTCCTCTACGTGTCACTAATGTCAGTGTTTGATCTTCTGCAGAGAAATACTTGAAGACGACCCAGGCGGCCAAACTGTCGTACGTTGTGTTCATCGTGAAGAGCAGCGTCTACGGCGCCGGCGTGGCCTTCCTGCTGTGGAGGCTGCAGGTGAGCTCTAACGCAGGGGGGTCAAACTCAAATACACAGTGGGCCAAAATAAAAAAATGGGTACTCGTCGAGGGCCGGACTGGTTCAATGTTTATCGCAGAACTTATTGAAATGAACTTATTGCACATATTAAACCTGGAACTAACAAAGCTTAAATTATTGCCAATAAAACAACATTAAACATTAAATAATCAGTTGCATTCATTTCTTATGGCTCTATCTGCAGCTTTTCCAGAGTCATTTCTTATGAGTACATTTTCCCACAGGCCAACAACAGCTTCAACAAAACTATTCCCCTCAAAGAGAAAACCAAACATGCCCTGTTGTCGTGAGAGAAAGTGCAGAAGGAAGCATCCATTGAACTCAGTGTGCTGCTCTGTGATGCTAGCTCAGATACTTGGCATCTCATCTTGGGTGCAAGGTCATCAATGTTTGGGCTCAGGCTCTGAGCGGAGGAGACCCTCAGGATGGAGTGAAGGTGCAATATACCGGCGGGCCAGATCGAATAGTAATTAGAAATTATCCTGTGGGCCGAAATTAAATCCACCAAGGGCCTGATTTGGCCCCCGGGCCTTGAGTTTGACACATGTGCTCTAACTCATCACTATTATACTGGTGCTGGTTACAAATCAAAGGTCTCATACGTCTCCATTTGGGGATGAACGAGTAATAAAACTGTTCTGACATCGTGTCCTTTCCGTCTGTTGCAGAGTTCAGCCGGAAAGCAGAACAACTGACCCGACCGCTCTGCGTCTGTCAAAAGGATCTGTGGATATATTCACAAAGCTTCGTATGTCACAGCATATTTGCATTTTTATATATAACCAAGCAAATTCAATTCTGCTTGCATTCGATCAACATTATTCTTATGACGATATTAAAGCTAGCACGGCAATAGGAAAACCTTTTATGTCTCTGGTTGTATTTGATGCTTAATTCCTTGCAAATAAAAGTATTTCAACCGTATTGTTTATTTGTCCTTTAATGTCGTTGACGATCTGTTCTTAAAATGATGATCAGGTTTACATACAGTATGTTTCTGAAGCACAAGAGTTTATGCATTAACTTTAGACTCGTTTTAACCGAGAATGGATTAAGGTCATATTTAAAGTCAGTTGCTCCAAATGGTGCACGTATCTCTCCTCTCACATCTCACACATCACTTCCACCGACAGGGTGAAGTATTTTTAGCTGCTCGCCTCTTTTCTGAGAAGCCACTCGTGTGTCTGACGTGTTTCCATTGAGCGACCTGAGAGGTGCCTGAGGTCAGATCATCTGCGTGTTAACACCTTTCTGATCAAATCATCTCACTTTTTTAAGTCTTTTAATTGAAGTCATATATTTTTTTTCCCTTTTGCACAAGTGAGAGACGTTTATGACTTTTTAAAATCTCTTGATGAATGAAGAAGTTTTCCACTTTCAGGAGTTTATTTTACTAACTTTTCTATTTTAAGATTTGATATTTTTTAAGATTTGAGGATTTTGCTTCTTCAACATATTTTTTTAGATTAAAAAAACACATTTTCTAACAAACGTTGTCTATTTGATTCTGTAGATTTCTCCTACGTTCACCAACAGTTAGCATCAATGTCTCATTTGCATATTTCAACATAACATTTCAGCAAACTTGGGATATTTAATTACAACTTTGTCAGCTATGGACTGAGGAAGTTTCATCGAGATATTAGTGTGAAGAAAATCCTGATCATATGTTTTGTTTTTACTACAAGAGACAAGCTTGTGGCGGTTTACATTCTCTCGATGAACAAAGACGTTGTCCCTCAGTTCAGGAAGTGTGTGGGTGCAGGAAGTGTGTGTGTGTGTGTGTGTGTGTGTGTGTGTGTGTGTGTGTGTGTGTGTGTGTGTGTGTGTGTGTGTGTGCAGTGCAGCAGGTGGAGGTGTTGTTGTGCAGAGAGCAGAGACAGGAAGTGGTCACAGAGCAGCAGATCTGAAACCTCCGTCTGCAGGAACACACAGCTGCACTTCCTGTGTAACTGAACACACACAGCTCCATCAGGCTGCTTTGGAAAACAGCTGTTCACGTCCTCTGCTGCACACACAATGTGTTGATGTTTTCATGTTGTAGTAGATAAGAGATGGGAAATAAGACAACTATACACAGTCATTCAAAAACTAAATTATAAAGACACCGAGGGTGTTTCATTGTTATCTCCCACCGGATGTATAAGTACTCTAACTCAAGTACTGTCGTTTTTATATTTGAGGTACTTTACATATACAGTATTACTATTGTATAAACATGTGTTGTATCTACTTCTACATTTGATGCAGATATTGTACTTTTGAGTGCACTCATGGTTTTAACATAACATACAATAATAATATAATTTTTAGATTTGGACAAAACAGAAATGGTGAATGTGTCACTTTGGGCCCGGGAAATGTGAACAAACCAAACAATAAATCCATAAGGAAAATATGAATTACTTCCTAATAATAGTAAATTCCTGCTTTTACAGTAACGCTTTAATAATAATAATATCATACATGTTTTCAGTCATATCAGACATCAATTCAATTCAAAACCTTTATTTATCCAGGTAAAATCCCATTGAGATCAATGATCTCTTTTTCAAGGGAGACCTGCAGCAGTAGGTTCCACAAGAAGACATAAACACATAAACAACAGAACAACAAAAGGACATCATACAGCAAAATGTACAGGGATTACAATTTACATATCTAACCACATGTACAGGTACCAACAGCATCTGATTTTGTAGCATCCATCTGAGCTTTAAAAACATGTAGTGGTACTAGCTTGGTAATTTTCCATTCTTTTTGCAGACTGTTCCATGTTAGTGGAGCTGCACATCTAAAAGCTTTCTTCCCTAAGACAGTCCTAGCACTTGGCACATTTAATAAAACCACAGCATGCGATCTCAGGCAATAAGTACTTTCAATTCGCAGAGAGATCAGGGAGCAGATATAAGATGGTAGTTTATCCAACATGGCTTTGTAAATGAAAAAGTACCAGTGACTGAGCCTCCGTACAGTAAGTGATGGCATAACCGCCTTGGTATACAGGGTACAGTGATGCGTAAGTGCTTTACAATTTGTCAAAAATCTCAGTGCGCTGTGATACGCAGCATCTAACTTGCTCAGGTAATTGGCAGGTGCATTCATATATAACAAATCACCATAGTCCAGCACAGGTAAAAAGGTCACAGAGCCTTTTCCTGGCCTCAAGCGAGAAACAGGACTTATTTCTGTAAAAGAAACCTAGCCTAACCCTCAGCTTTTTAGGCAGGTTATTGACATGAAGTTTAAAAGTGAGACAGTCATCAAGCCAGATACCCAACTATTTGTAACAGGTAACCACTTCAAGTTGTATTTCTTGCGTAGTTACAATATCCAAAGCAGTGTCTGGTGTATTTTTAGCTTTAGCTTTAGAAAAGAGCATTACCTTGGTTTTATCCACATTTAAAAGAAGCTTAAGCTCAGAGAGCTGAGCCTGAATAATGTTAAAAACAGCCTGTAATTTAACAACAGCCTCGATAATCGAGGGACCTGCACAGTACATAACGGTACATGTACAGTTCATAGGGCACAGAGCCTTCTCCGTCGCTGCCCCCTCCCTCTGGAACTCACTCCCACCACCCATCAGAGACTGCACTGACCTCACCACCTTCAAAACACTCACCTCTTCAATCTGGCTTTTAATGTGTGATTGTTTTTGTATTATTTGACTTTAACTTTATATATTTATTTGTTGTTCTTTTCTTTTCACTATATCTGTAAAGCGTCTTTGAGCACCTGTAAAAGCGCTAACAAAATAAATCTATCATTATTATTATAGGTTAATATGTTTATCCATGCAGAGGTACCGCTTTAAAAGTAATAATGAATAATATATGAAAACTTGAACAATAAACATTAATATGAATAAAAAGAAACAAATAAATATAGAGATTAATAAATTACAAATAAAAAATACATATAAATACTAATATGATATTTCAATTCTAAGAAGTGGAAATGTTCTTAATTTGATTCCTTTAAAAACATGTTTGTGCTTATTCAGGTCACACAAACAGGGAACAGTGAGAGAACAGACACATCAAATCAAATCAAGTTTTATTTATATAGCACATTTATAAACGATTTTTGGTCGAGCCAAAGTGCTGTACATAAAATAAAAATAGCCTACAGTAGAGACACTTTACAGCAAATACAACAGCACAGATTGTTCAGAATATCAGTATGAGAAATACGACACCCTCTATCCTTAGACCCTCTATCCTTAGACCCTCTGTCCTCAGACCCTCTGTCCTTAGACCCTCACATCGTACAAGGAAAAACTTCCAGAGAAAACCCACAGTTTAAAGGGAGCATGGGAGAAACCTCAGGGAGAGCAACAGAGGAGGGATCCCTCTCCCAGGACGGACAGACGTGCAATAGATGCCGTGTGTAAATCGAAGAGATAATACATTTTACAGCATATAGACCGAATGTTAGGAAATGCATGTGTCTGTAATAAGAAGACATACTGAGCTGGTGCCTTGTTATTATTATTAAGTCTAGTTTAACTTCCATCCCTGCAGAGGATGTTTGGTAGATTTTCATTAAAGTTTAGATTTGATCAAACTGCAACAGGAATGTGCAGATCTTGCAGATTTGTATGACTTTTTGCAAAGTAAAACCATATATTCAGTTTGAAGGTGAATGAGACATTTCATTTGTGATGTTGAACGACCCCTTGTGGTGCAAACTGAGAATCAAGTCAACATAAAGGACAAACTAAGAGGGGGGGATTTCAGCAGAGATATTTAAATCCTGTCCTAAAAATACTTTTAATAAGAAGGTTTGTTCTTCCAGAGTCACGAGTACAAAGTATTTATTACATTTGGAAAATACTCTCAGTATAAAATCTCCTCCTAGAGCACCATTGAGTTCTTTGTAACCAAGTCTCTCTCAGAGGGGCGTGGGGAGGGGCTCCTTATTTTCATCTGAAGTAACAGACAGAGAATCAGCACTTTGGAAACAGGGCTGAAACAGAGGGGATTATGGGTAATGCTGCAATGATCTGTTTGGTGTTCCAGCCAATCAGAGACATGTTCTGTATATATCTAAGGCCTGTAATATATTGATGAAAAACAGTATAATAGGGGACCTTTAAACCCTTTAAATGCCTGTTTAATTATTTTTAATTATATAATTTTTTCTTACAAAAAAACACAAAACCTTAATTATTTTTTCCATATAATAAATGGTAGGGGGATGGAGCTTCGGTGTTTTTTTTTTTGTCTAGGATATGTCAAAGATTAGCAACAAAATCGTTTTGAATGCATGAGTGTTTTTACGTAATGTCACATACTCTCTCTGGACACCTTCGTGGCCAACAATGCCTCATTGACTTCCATTAAAACCACATTTGTAATCTCACTGCCATTATAGTATAAAACCATGCATTCTGTAAGGTCAGCATTTCATTTAGAGGAAAAGTAGTGATATTTGACATTTTTACTGTATTCTACAAGTACCTACCCATTGTATGCATGAAATTATTTTTATGTTATGGAACCTTACAAATTGAAAGTGGGAAAGTCTAAGCTCCAACCCCCAAAATGCATTCTATTAGTCGAGAAAACTCTCCTGGTGAATTGTATTCAAATTCCAACAACATTTCCAACAAACCCCCCCCTCATCGACCTTGAAGTCTAGCCTCAGTTGCAGCACCGTGGCTGCAGCAGGAGCAGGAGCACTAAGTCGGACTATGTATTTGAGGTTAAAAGACATTTTGCTTAAGATTTTTGTTATAGTTTAATACATTTAACTGTCTAATGAGGTAACCATTTGTAAAACTCCATTGCACTGATTTGTCTTATGTCGTTATTCACTGTTTTGTCACTTGTGAGAAATTATTTACACTGCACATGCACACAGTGAAATGTGTTCTCTGCTTTTAACCCATCCAAGTACCAGCAGTCTAGTACTAGGAGCAG